CGGATGGCTCAAAAGATATATTTTCATCGATTTCAATACCTAAATGAATGCACGATTAAAGACAATGTGACTTCAGTCGGGGTTTTTATCCATAGTTCGAATTTTATGCGCATACCATTCAATTCAATTTTAACTTCACTGAACATGTTCTGGACGCAGCATTCCTCAACTCTTCAACATTCTGCATTTCATTTTGAAAAAATATCCCACATAGACTATACGCACAAACTAAACTGGTTTATGAACTATGAATGAAACAATTCTTATAGAAACTATACATGTTAATTCAATTTTATCTTGCATTCTTGAAATACTTACCTGGGTTATTTTTTTTAGTTGCAATAAATTTAGTTTTATTTTTCAAACAACAAACTGAATAACAAACTAACGGGATATCTTACTAAGAAAACGTTTTGAATGTATTCAACTTTTTACCTATCTGAATGAAAAAATTGGTTTTAACGTTTGTGAAGAAAACAGGTTGAACAATTAATCTAATAAAGACCAAAATTCTCACAACAGGTAAAACACCAACTCAAAGACAACAAAACTCAACACAATGGAGACCAAGGCTCCATAAGAGGAGCTTTGAAGGCCCTTCCAAAAAAGAAATGATGACATTAAGGTAGGTCAAAATTGGTGTCAAAATGCCGCACACAAATAAGAATGGAAAACAAGTGGGGATGCAGGAGTAAGGCCGGAGTTACTCAATTCCTTAATTCTTAATATTTTTCCTTAATTCTTAATTCTTAAAAAGTTCAATTTATTTAATATAGGTGTTTATAAGGATTAAGAATGAGGAACAAAAATTAAGAATTAAGGAATTGGGTAACCCCGGCCTAAATGTTAAAAGGCTGCTGAAGAAGCAGAAGTGATAACAAAAATTACTCCTCCAATAGCTATTTATCAGCTCTTTAAATTTTTACACAATTCTAGTCACTCCTGAATTTTTTGGACTTAACTAATTTAACCATAACTTTGTGAGAAAAGGGCACATTACAAAATATAATGTATCTTAACGTCAGCTGTCTACGTTTTATGACGGTCTATATTATAATAAAACCATGACATTTTATCTCTAGAGTTGAATATAAATATTTGTTTTACTCGCTTCATTTTAATATTATCCCACTGTTGAAGAACCTATTAGACATTCGTGATTTACACATTACACACGTGGTTTTTCAGTTTTTCATTGCAAGTGGAATGCATTTAAAATTATAAAGTCTGAGCCTTGGAATATTTATTCAGACTTTTTGTTCAACATTTTTCGCAATGTCGCAATGGAAATAATGTTCCCATGTATGAATATGGTCAGAGGACATTTTTCAAGAATATTCAGTCCTTGGAATTTTCTGTTTATTTTATTTCTGGACACAATGTACCTTATATATCCAATCAAATTATATTATATACATATTTTATGTACCGCAATTGGCTAACATTCTTCGCGATATAATCAGCAGATAAAAGTATTAAAATATCCAACGAAGCACGGTACAAATTATACAAACTGCCAAGCACATATATACACTCACACTTACATATACTACACATAGAGGATTAACAGTTAATGTATTAGCTAATCTGCTTACTAATAAGAAAAATGTGTAAATTCAAAGACGCGGCTTAATGTTAGCAATATCATATCTAGTAAACTTGTCTAAGTAACAGGTGATAATAGTTAGTAGTCGATGTCAACTTGCAGTCACCTGCGAATAAATTATGAGGCAATTAATGTCAGGGAAGGCGAACTACGAATCTCTACTATCTCGGCTAAATATTTGTCGATTTATTGCTTTGGATTGTACAGACTTTACGCAATTTTAGAGCTTAAACTTAAATCATAAGGAATTTAATCCATAATTTACTATAGTTGGAGAATAAATAGTGAATACGTCCTCAATCGAAATATAGAAGGTCCTGAACAGAGCTTAACCAAATTATTACGAAAGTAAAGAGAGTATGAGTTAGTTCTTGATCCTTCTCGCCGCGAAAATAAGTGATTTAATAACTCTAGCTTCTAACAAAAACGTTGAACTCCTTACTTCGGATTAGTTTTCATAGAAATAAATGTAAAGTGCGTTTTAGTTAGCTCTGTACCAGGACGTCAAAGCATGACGCCATTCTGTGGACTACTGGAGCGCTACCTCATAAAATAACTGAACGAATGCAAAACCAAATGCCAACTGATTGGAGTTTCTCTCGGGGTCTGAGACAGGCATATCTATCTCAGCAAAAGTATCTGGATAAAAGAGACTTTAAAACCAGCAGTTTTCGGCTTGATGACTGGGAATTGCCTAGTAAAATATCACTTAGAAACGATAGAGCATGGCTTCTGCAGATTTTGCGAACAAGCAACTGAAACAACAGAATATCTGCCCTGTGAAGCACCATTACAAACTAGAAGTAGAGCTATGCACAAAATATCTGGAAAGATAGAAGTGAGCGGCTGCCACGGAAACGACTCCAGATGCAATCCCCAACTTATAATTTACAAGAGATCGCTATTTCTGGATAAAGTAGAGATATCGAGGAATGATGTAGAAGAAAGCTAAAGAAAGTCAATATAACAGGATGCGCATACTGAAATAGTGATTGTAGCAGGATCCACATTCCACGCTCAATATAGCAATCACATTGTCATTATAACAATGTTATATGCTGAATCAACTGTGTTCATTCCACTGATTTAATGTTGAAACTCCATTTTTGTACACAATAGAAAAATTGTCACGGCTCCACTTATATTGACTAGTAGTAAAACCGCATATCGCAAGTCTAGACGTTTTGCTATATGTCACAATAACAATGTTGCGCGTTTTCTTTTTGATATTTACCGACAGAAGACGGATAGTATGTAGCATTATATAGCAAGTGTGGACTCTGCTCAAGCCAATATGGCATTCCTCAAAGCAATTAGATATAGTTCTTGCAAATCTATCAGCAGCTGCTTCGCCGTGATTCTAGATTTGACTCGGAAACATAGCCTTCCTGCTTCTTCCTCCACTCAAAATAGACAAATATTTTTATCCTGTAGGTCGTCTATATAAATTCATCCTCAACTTTATACCTGCATCTATGTTGGCTTTGTTGGTTTCATACATGTTTTTTTGAGCCGAGGCTCTGAGAAAGATGGAAAAAACATCCAAATATGGAAAAAACCTCCAAATATTTGAGCCGTGGGGCATACTGAGTTGCAGTAGGAATTGCTGTCTCCGGTCGCTTCTGGTATTTAGATCTTTACACGCCCTAAGCAGCCTTCCATAAATTTATTGTTATTTTCCGGGTAATAATGCTAGACCACGAGTACTATCTTCTTGTACGCGGATACTTTAAAGTTGAAAATGCAACTCTCGAACTAAGTACCCTTAGTTTGAAATTCACATTAGCTATCCAGCAGTTTATCAGTTCCGTGAACTGCAATGACCTGTTTTTGTCCACAATAATGTTTTTCTCATTATTTTCTCTGCCACAATCAAAGAAAATATTTCGTGCATACTTTCTTCAGTCTTCAACTTTTTTAAAGCTCGTTGAAGAGTCGTTTTTCTTTTTCGCACCTAACTCCAACCGGGAGATCCTGTGTAACTACAGCCATAGCTCGCTTTGGTGTCAATCCAGGCTGGCTTCAAAAGGCTAAATATCATGCGTGTAATCCACTGGATGACGTACAGTTCTTGTTTTATTTTTATCGGGTTACCGGCCTTCTCAGTGGGCATTGTTTAGTAAAATATCACCTAAAAACGATAGGCAGAGCAGAGAATGGCTTCTGCAGATTTTACGTACAAGCAACAACAGACCAGCAGAACATTTACCCTGGTCAGAGAAATATAAGCTAAGAATAGACTTTTCGTCCGGGGTACAGATAAACACTATCATTTCTGCGATCAAAAATAAATTTTAAAAAATTCCAAAATTAAGGACATAAAAAGTACTTGTTTGTTTGCGTTTTTGCAGACTAACATGCAGTTACTCGATAGTTGCTTCTTTATTCACTGTTGTTTCTGTCTGACAAGGAGTGTCAAAAGAAATATCTACTTTTGTCTGATAAAAACAAGGAGAAAATGGAGAGTGATGACCTAATTTCGGACACTATGTCAGAAATTATGAAAATTTAAAAATTAATGACACTGACCATCACTGAGGGGACAAAAGGGACGAAACAGCAGTACCTATGTCAATCACATTTTCGCATGATATTCTTTTATATAAAACCGTTCTTTGGATTAAAACATGTTCTGAACCAAGTTTTAAGCAAATTTTACATCTTATTCAAAAGAACTTATTTTTGATTCTTTTTTTTTGCAGAAAACGAGTAGAACATGTCAACCTTTTCCGATTTCTGAAATCTAGAACATTCTTTTGGAGATAGTAATTATCATTGATTATATAAAATCTACATCGGTTATGTAAAACAATTTATTTCTAAATTTCTGCAAAATTGCAACTTTTCCCAACTCGAAAATAGGAATTCTAAAAATTGAACAGCATTAAAATATAATAGCATTAAATTCAACTGAATCCTTTGTTTAATTGCAATTTCGGAAAAAACTTATAGGTATTGCAAGATTATCTCCGCCTCTGTGTTTATGTCCTATAATTTATAGATGCCCATAACTATTTTATTCTATGTTTCTGCATTGATAAGAGGCAAAGATAGGCCAAATGGTTTTTGCCATTTCGAATATGTCGGTATATCTAAAGAAAAACCATCAAGTTACCTACTGCAAGAATCGTGTGCGAATTAGGTAAGTATACAGAGTGCAAGGCCACTCAACCTCAGCAGTGACACGAAAAAACGAAAGTTATTTGGCAATTACTGCCATTTGAATACCGAATAAATTTTGTTCGGTCCTTAGAAAATGTACATAAATGCATAATAATGTGTGTGCGTAATATATGTTCTTTCAGTCACTGAATTTATTACTTTGTCCAGCTTTCAGTTTGAACCGCACTATTTGAATTCGTTCGAAATTAAAAATATTTTCGGAAAAACTTACCTTAGCAACCGGAAATGGTGTTTAGCATATTAGTTCATTAACACCACATTTTCACAAGCAATTGGCAGCTGGCCTAAAAAAAAAAATGAAATAATTAATTAGGGACACAAACTGAAAATAACCCCACCAAGCAGTTCCAAAAAATCATTAATTGAAAGAACTCCATTCAAAAAGTCAAAATTACAGAATTGTTTGTGCTCATAGACGACTTTGTAATGTTTTGGTTGGCCAATAATGAGTTTGCCCGGGTTTTTTGTCTATATTTTTTCACGTATTTTATATGAGATAGTAGATCCATGAAAATGGAGGAAAACTGGTAACTTCGGAAGATAGCGGCTATCTAGGGATCGCCAGGGCATGTTTGCATCCAACGCCGGACATGACAGAACTGCAGGGTTGGAAAAAACCCGGGTTTTTTTGAAAAAGTCCACCCCGTCGGGTTTTTTTGGGTTTTAATGAGTTTCCTGGGTTTTTTTGGGTTTTTTCGGGCATTCCAGGTGTTTTCGTTTTTTTCTTCAAATTTGATTCCTTGGTTTCTGCTCTAGCAGAGAAGTATTACAAAAATTATGACTTTTGTTGCAAAAATAAAATATCCTAATGAAGGAGATGAAAGGATGGGACGCGCCATCGCACCAGCCAAACCACTTGTCCCCGCGACCGGCGGTTACGTTTGAGGTTGCAAAAGACGCAGCGTTTAGTCGCCCCCGTCAGACGCAAGACGCGTCAGCGAAACCGTACCTTTACAAAATAAAGCAAGCCACTTGATATGAACAATGATATAAATAATTACACTTGGCATCAGCGCACTGCACCACGCCTCTGTCTGGCCAGCCCAGGGACTCCGTGTCATGTAGAATTCTACGTATCGACAGGATTCGATAGACTTGGCACATTCGATATGTCGAATTCTAAATTCTACATGGCACAGAGTCCCTGCTCAGACGTCCACGCCAAACGCCAACAGCGAAAAGCTGGGGTATCATAGGGGAATCCCTGATATTTCCTGTGAAAATAACACTCGTTCAACTGAAGATTTTGAAAAAACCCAAAAAACCCAATAATGGCGGGTTTTATCAATTGAAAAAACCCAAAAAAACCCACTGGGTTTTATAACCTGGGGAAATTCTATGCCAACCCTGGACAGAAGAAGGTGGATCTCTGTCTATCAGCGAATCTGTAATGCGCAATTACTCAACAGTAACGCGAGGTGGACAATCGAATACAGAAAATAAATGCACACCTAATTTTTCAGAGATCTCAAAGTAACAAAGCAAACGGAAACAGATAAATACAGGTTTGTTCTTCAGAAATAACCTAATACCACATGCTTCATTCACGTATTGGATATCTGAGGTCTATATGGAATCCCTCAATATACGTTTTGAATAGTTACGCGTTAGAATACCGTAACCCTGTAGAGCCAAGCCAAAAGAAATAAGGAAGCTGTGGAGATACCTCCCCTTCTTCTAGAAACATTTGTTCAAAGCAACGCCAGTACAAATAAAGAATGAAAGCTTTCGCGGACGGTCAAGTCTAGTGAAAAGGTTTCTTCTGACCACTGCAAAATAGCCCGAAAGAAACCTTAAGAGCTAGTATAGTTCCACGCCTTTACATCAACGTTTTCTTGGCTCAAATTTGCACGCTTTTGAACAAAGAATGTGTGCAGCTGTCTTTTCATCCTCTATGCACAGCCTGCACTCAGCATCCTCTGCCGCCCAATCCTGTGCATGTGGTATTTGAGCCTACAGCCAATATTCGTAGGCTTTGTTCTCTGCCCAGAGTTTATGTTTCGATTTGATGCCCAGCATTGGCTTTGACTCTGTAGAGTTGATTTTCGCTCCACTTCTGACAAGGATATCCTCCATTCTATTGCCTTCAAGGCCCACGTGTCCCAGTTTTCATATTAAAGTTACTTTGCTACGCTTTCTGACAGCTGCAGACAGTTTTTGAGTTGCAGTAGGTTTTTGAGCCTGGAGTCGAATTTGCAAGAACACATTTTTATGGTTTTGTGATAATGGGGTCCATTCTACAGTCTCCTCACACCTATTTCAATGGCAGTACGTCCGTTTGAAAAATAGTTGCATTGTTCACACCTTGGGCTGGCTCATTCTGTATCCGCTCTCCCTTTTTTTGGAAAGACTACGTGTGGAATAGGACGTTTGTTGTGTGTGTTTTTGGCAAGGTCCTCGGGCATTTCCAACTGCCTGTGTGTTTTAATGAACTCCACCAATGCCTACTATATCCCCCCTGTCATCCAATTGCTGTGTGTTGATGAGGGACAATAATATAGGTTGTTTTCAGGGCCTTTCTTCCCAGATAGATAGGTGAAGGACGATGACACTAAAAGAATCTCCAACGACGTTGTTGGCTGTCTTTGTAGTCCAGTGAACTTAGTTTGGGCGGTACGTTGCAGCCCAGTAACATGTGCTACACAGTACTCCACCAGACTACGAAACCGTATGTGATCATTAGTCTGTTATTCAAGCTACCTATATATTTGCTTAGGCTCCCTTGTTTTGCCATAAATCATGCTGTGAGTCCGTCCATATGAAGAAGGTAGCTTTCTGTTGTATATTCGCCAGATCGACAAAGACTACAAAAAGGGAAAAAGAGGCCCCTTTGCTGGCTTTAAACTATACTTTTTCCCCTACAGAGTTGCTTTCGTGTACTTGTTTTCAAGGATCTTTCTTGTGACCGTATCTGTAAACGGTGCTCGATTCATCTGGAAATAGTTGATTTATATAGAGGGAGTTAGAAAGAGTGTTATCGAAAGCTCCGTCTACATAGGTATGTCGATGAACGCTGCTAGCGCAATCTCGTTGCTTTCAAGGAACTGGCTGTTGTTTGTGACGAATCCCTCAAGTGCAAGTTCTGTCGAATCTGTTTCTGCAAGGTTAGACCACTTTGTTGGTAGGCTTACCAGGCCGCGGGGCCTTCTAACACCTTTTGTCAAGAGACATCGAGCAATATTAGTAGGTACTTAAAAAGTTACCATATGGGGAACTCTTCATACCTGCTGGGACTAAAATAATAAATTTTGAGTTCCAAAACTACATTTTGGTTTGAAGTTTCGAGACGAAGTATTGTTACGTTGACGTCGTTGAGATTTCCCTTGTTGTTATGCTGACGAGTGTATGATTGTGAGGTGGTGCGGTAATTAATCTTCTCACGTAAGTAAATGATGTAATAAGCTGTTATCCTAAACCGCTTTACGTTGTTTTAAAAGACATGTCCAATAAATATTTTCCAAATTACACTCAGCCCAAATAACAATTGATACTAAATAGTTATTATGCTAGAAACCTTAATTTAAAAAAAAATTCTTAAATTAAAATGCATAAATTGTCGAAGATTATTATTCATCTTTGCCAGCAATTCAATTAAACTTTTAGTCCCTATAGCGGCTTGCTGGATCAAACAACTTTTTGCTTCCACACAGGTGCGTGGGAAAAATAAGCTAATTAAAATCACATCGATTCATTTTCAAATGTAAGAAATTTATCTATTACCGACTATCGACCTATCAGTACCGACGATGGCAGTAACGGAAATGCATTCGTTAAAATTAAAAAAAAAAAAACGAAACCGACCACATGCTCAACACATGTGGGTCAACACTCCTAAATCATCCAATCAGTCAGAAATGAGTTTTTCAACGCCTCAATGACACATCCATGGGTTTTTCACATCGAATGAGGAAAAATAATAATTGGTGTGCGTTCGCTTGATTGCTTCAAGTTTTTCTATAAAAATTAGTATTGAACAAATCTAGGTCGAGTATGAAAATTGTTTCAGTTGAAATGGTTAAATTTAATGTATCGACTTATATTGGAAAATCACTTGACCTAATTTCTGAAAGAGTGGGCTAATCAATAAAAAAAAAACAGCAAAAAACGCCAATACAGCAATCACGCCATTGTCTGAATCTTAATATGGAGTGAGATTTGTCGAACGAACCATTCTGCACTGACACCCTTGAAGGTTGAAGAATTCTCAGAATTTCCATAGTTTTTGGGAAATAAGGATTCAAGACATTTGACCCTGAGTATTTTAAGTATAATCTTTATTGCGGGTGCCAAACGAGAACGCATTATACAACTTAATTTTTTTTGCTTTCTTCTAATCGATCAAACCTGTCGATTAAGTTTTGAGGAGATGTTTTTTTTCTCGAATTGTCCACAAAAAGTATTTTGGCCTCCATGTTCAAAGATGAAGTTGCTAGTTGCTGCACAGCAGATCTAATTAGGTCGCAGTGTGGAGAGGTCCATAACCTGAATACCCCCAACCAACACAATCTAGTTGCTGCTATGATCATCGCTTATAATATGGTAACCTGCCAAATTTTTTAATAATATATCATTTTTCCTATGTTTACTTACCTACCGGAATTTCGACAAACTGACATATGATTGTAGCAACAACTTAAACCTAGAGCTGAAAGCCTTAACAATAGTGGGGTTCTACTCATCTCCCCTTAGAGTCGATTTATAAAAGCTACCGAATATAGGCTAGAGATATAGTCAAATACCTATAACTAAACGGTTTTTAATCTCTTTTTGCTCTTCAAAACGTTGAGTATCCGAGTTCGACCACGTTTTTGAGCCACCCCTAAAAATAACGTTTATTTTAAAATTGACACGCAAGCTTGACAAGGGTTTGTTTCTTATCTGTCTCAAAAATAATTTCTACTCAAACAACATTTTGCCTATTCTGTCCCACGACCACAACAGTTGTTCGATTGCATTTGCTAAATAGCATTTTAACAATTAGACAAAATAATAGTAATAAAAACAGTTTCTAGTGAATGTGACTATCTTTTTTTTAATTTGGTAAAAAATTAGTCAAGTAATAAACTCATTACACCACTGTTACGGTATAGTCTTTATATTGCTAGAAATAAGTTACGCTATCCTACCTGATAACGTTATTTAGTACTGGGTATATGCATACAATCAGTCACGTAGAGGAAATTAGTTAGGCGACTTGGAAACCTAACACCTTTGCGATAATATACAAAGTTTTATCAAACTGCAGTTAAAAGTTAAACGTGCGTTAAAAGTTTTTATCGAATTA